CATTCCAATTTGAACCTATAAATAACAGAATACTAATTTGGAATAAAAACTGACCATTTACAGTAATTTGAACATTCACAAAAGGATTTACAGGATAATTTGGAATATAAAAGAATTTCATACTATTTGAAACATAAAAATAATAACAAAGCAATTTGGATGAAAAAATAATGACTAATTTCTAAGTAAAAAACAGGAATAAAAATATTTAATTGTAACTAAAAATAACTACATACTAATTTGAAAAATATTAAAAATTAGACCAAAATACTAAATTGGAAAACTCCCCAAAAATAATAAATTGGGACAAACAAAATGCTGAAATTGGTCGGAGCTCCAGCAGAGAAACAACAAAAAAGTAAAAGTTTATATAATTTTGTTACATTTCAATTTCGTGGGTGGCGGAGGGTCACCTGTATAGTATACCCAGGTACTGCCTACCCTGTCTCAACCATGCTCCACCCTACCTCAACCATGCTCCACCCTACTTCAATCATGCTCCACCCTGCCTCAATCATGCTCCACCCTGCCTCAACCATGCTCCACCCTACCTCAACCATGCTCCACCCTACTTCAATCATGCTCCACCCTCCTGCTACTTCAATCATGCTCCACCCTGCCTCAATCATGTGCTCACCCTGCCTCAACCATGCTCCATCCTGCCTCAACCATGCTCCCCCGACTTCAATCATGCTCCATGCCTGCAACCATGCTCCACCCTACTTCAACCATGCCCACCCTGTCTCAACCATGCTCCACCCTACACTCAACCCATGCTCCACCCTACTTCAATCATGCTCCACCCTGCCTCAACCATGCTCCACCCTGCTTCAATCATGCTCACTCCAACTTCAATCATGCTCCACCTACCATCAACCTCAACCATGCTCCACCCCGACTTCAATCATGCTCCATACTGCCTCAACCATGCTCCACCTAGCACCCCTGCCCCAACCATGCTCTACCCTACCATAAACCATGCTCCACCCCATGTACCTAATCATACCTCCACCCTATCTCCACTCTGCCCCAACCATGCTCCACATCCCCCCCCCCACCAACGCGCTTCCCTATTGGTCAATGACTCGCTAGGTCGAGTTTGAAGATATTAATAATTCCTCCCTTAAGAAAAACAATAACAACCACTGACAGGAAACACACGTGGGTAACTCAATGATGGCAACCCCACCCCCTCCCAGCACCCCCTCCTCCAGCACCTCCCCCAGCACCCCTCCCAGCACCCCAGCACCCCTCAGCACCCCCCCAGCAACCTCACCAGCACCCCCTCCCCAGCACCCTCCCCAGCACCCCCTCCCCAGCACCCCTCCCCAGCACCCCTCCCCAGCACCCCTCCACCCCCTCCCACCCCTAGCCCCCAAGACAATAACATTAACAAAGAATGAAAGTGATGCGGACAAATCTGACGTAATCTTTTGGGATTTTCAGTTAGTGTGACTGTAGGCTGACTGTGGATCAATGAGAGAGAGAGAGAGAGAGAGAGAGAGAGAGAGAGAGAGAGAGAGAGAGTTGTAATGTGTGTTTGCTTTAGTAAATTTGTGTTTGACAGTGCTGGTGTTTCAGTGTGATCCTATTTGAATATGTGTGTGTGTGTGTGTGTGTGTGTGTGTGGTGTACCTGTGTGTGTTATGTGTGTGCATGTGTTGATGTGGGCGTGCGGGCGGCAGGTGTCTTGGTCAGGTGTTATCGTCTGACGAGCTCAGCGGGAGACGGGCGGGGAGGAGAAGAGGAGAGAGAGGTGGTGAATAGAGGAGGAGGAGGAGGAGAGGAAATTACAGCTTTCTAGGGAAAATATCTCTGATCTCAACTACCTTCCTTCCTTCCTTCCTTCCCTCCTTCCTTCCTTCCTTCCTTCCATCCTTCCATGTGATAGATAACGCTTCTTTCATATGATTGACAAAATCTTTTATTTCGGCTGAATTAAAACATAGAAAACCTAAATAAAAATCAACACAAGAATTAGGCAAATAAAGGAATAATGAATAAGAAAAGAATGAAAGGAAAACAGACAGAAACGTAGATAATCATCATAACAATATTTTTTTTTTACTCTGCTTCGTATGTAAATTTCTGTCATGTTATCTTGGTTTTGATAAAGAATGATCTGTTTATACTAGCGGAGGGGGAGAGGAAGAGGAGGGGAGGAGAAGTGGAAGGGAATGGTGGGAAGGAGAGAGGGAAGGGAGGAGGAAAGAAAAGAATGGAGAAGGAAGGAAAGGAAGTAGGGAGAGAAGGGAGGAAGGAAGGGGGGAGAGAGGGAGAGAGGGAGAGAGGGAGAGAGGGAGGAAGGGTACAAGCGTGTAAGGGCTTTGTTTAATCCAGCTTAAAAGGGAGGAGTCACCTGGTGTCCGTACAAGGGAGTGACAGGTATGTCATGTCACGCGTCACGCCTCTCTTGTCACCCACCCTCACCACCCTCTCCAGTCCCCCCGAGCACCTTCTATGTGCCTTGACATGGCCCTGGCACCCATTACAAGAGAGTGCCAACACCAGTTATCCTCAACATCAGTGCCACTACTATATACAACGTTAAGACTTACCCAACACTTTTTAACTCCAGGACAGACAACAACTTACTCTTGAACAAAGTAGATAACATTAAATATGTATGTAACTTTATTCATTGTTATTTGTATGAAAGAAAATAGTAAATAAGGAGGTTGTTGGTAAGGTTTCTGTATATCATAGGGAAAATACTGAGGGTTGAGAGAGAATGTTCCCCACCCCAAAAAAGTTAGATCTGTTGATAATTAATTCATAAATAATTTCAATACAAAGTGCACTAACTGGGATTAATTTCCTCCCTACCAAAAATATATTTTCACACAGGTCTCCTGCTGTAGTACTGTGCAGGTGTTGAGACAGGTGTTGTTATCCCGAGTCTTAGTGAGTTACTCCACCACCTGGCAGCGGACCTCAGATAGACTCTATCTCTTAGTCTGCCTGAACCCATTTATTAGAGTCTACAATTTATACCTGAAGTTTCTGCTGTAGGTCACATGACACAGTGTTGATGTTCAACAGAATATGAGTCCAAGTATGGAGGAGCAGTGACCCTATGACCCTGTGACCCCCCAGGCACCACCACAACACAGCAGGACTTTTCTGGCTGCAGGTCGACCACTCCGCCCTCCGCTACAATACGCTGTTCATCAGGAAAATGTGAGTTATTGAACGCACGCTGATACGGTCCTTTCATTCAGGATATTGCATTGATTGCTTCCTGCCTCTTTTTCCATCGACTCTCGGGTAGGCAGATGGCCAATTGGTGCTTCCCACGTGGGAGTTACGTCACGACTGAAGAGCCAATGAGAGTTTTCCTCGTCGAGACTACGTCACGATTAAAGGACCAACTAGAGCCTGTATACGCCATGATGACGTCACGACCCAGGAGCCAATAGACACAAACGTCACGTGTGGCGACACGAGGAAAATATAAATAATAAATCCAAATGGTTTATTAATGGTTTCCATCATTTATGTGAAATATTCACGAAAGCTCTTCAAATGACGTCATAGGGACGGAAGTCGCTGTTTTTATCGATTTTCAGGACTAGTAGAGGACGCCATTCTGTAAACCCACCTAAATCATCCACCAACCACAGCCGCTGGCGGTGTGGTCGACTTACTGGAACTAAGCGAAGCATTTGTTTACAACCTGACCTGACGTGAAGGACGAGAGGCAGAGAGGAACAAAGGGAGAATACCGAGGGTTAGGAGGGTGAGGCTAAACAGTGTAAATACGAGTGGTACTCTCTCTCTCTCTCTCTCTCTCTCTCTCTCTCTCCCTGGTTCTGATAAATACATACATTTAGTAGTGTATAATGTAAAGTCATGATCAGCTCTGCCAGTTCGTCAAACTTAACCTGGAGGATCATGATGTGTTCGTCGGATGGCTCAACCTGTTTGGCGATATATTCACCAAGTTATAGGAAGGAAGGATTTGTTAGACTGTACTGGTATGTGGATAATGAAGACGCCTATAGTACCGTCCCTGGGTTCGGAAGTTAGTATTATGAGAACATTGAACCACAGAAATATGAATGTGTTTTGAGGTATAGTCTCCTAACCTAACCTAACCTAACCTAACCTAACCTATAAGTCACTCAAACAACTCTGAATTTCTGTACATTTTTAAAGGTCATTTGTGGGATTTAAGTCTAGCATAACATTGACTCTTTGACCCATATAGACGCTATAACTATCTTCTTCACACACACACATACGAATACATAGTAGACATGACCGATACAATATACCTGTGTGGATAGGAACTTTAATACCTCGGCCAATAACAACACAGTACAGTATGTAGGGGTTACATCACCGCTCTGTTGACCAATCAGAATTCCCTCACTCATAGTAAGCCAATAGCACTATGTCATGTAAATATTACGTCATGTTGTATAAACCAATAAGGTCACTCGGTCAGTATATTGTAAACCAATAGTGATGTATACGAGGTCAAGGTAACGACGACGGTATTAATATGTGGATGGTTCTTCGTGGGTGACTGAGACCAACCCTCTCCCTTAAGTCACCTCAATGGGAAGAAGAATACATAGGGTGGCATTACACATTAAAAACTACGTATTATCTGAAGCTTAGACACCCTAGGTTAATTTACATGAAGATTAATCATCCTAACGCTAACCTAACCTAACTTAACCTGACGCTAACCTGATCATTAGCACTTAAATTAACCCACCAAACGACCATTAAACCACCTAAATGAAGCTAATTTTCCCTCCAGACGACCAGAAACAATCTCACGTGGTCCAACAATACTTTTAAGCGTTTTACAAGGGAATGTCTGACCTCTATAATCACCTTGAACTGTATAACTTCCACGAACTCTATAACAATAACAAGACCACAACAACAACATCAATATCAAGACAAAAAAAGCAACAACAACAACAACAACAAAGAAGAAGCACCACAACAACAACAATAAGAGCCACAACACTAAGGGTACTCACTTCTTAATCCCAGGAAGGAGGAGGCTGGAGGCATGTTTACACGTGTCCACACATTGACGGCGAACCTTCCGAATCCTCTCTCGAAGCTCCGGACCATCTCGGCTCTGACCCACACAGATCAACAGGTCCCTGAACAGCGCCACCTGAGAGTTGATCTCCACCACCAGCTGTTGAGGGAGATACAGGTTGTTAGTGTTGGAGGAGAGACAGGTAGGAAGGTGATTAGTGTTGGAGGAGATACAGGTAGGAAGGTTGTTAGTGTTGGAGGAGAGACAGGTAGGAAGGTTGTTAGTGTTGGAGTAGAGACAGGTAGGAAGGCGGTTAGTGTTGGAGGAGAGACAGGTAGGAAGGTGGTTAGTGTTGGAGTAGAGACAGGTAGGAAGGTGGTTAGTGTTGGAGAGACATTTACTTAGCGTTGGGGAGAGACTGGTTAATAGTGATGGGGATATTAGTGTTGGAGATAGTAGTGTTGGAGGATACTTAGCATTCACGTTTTACTATTGGAGTAAACATACTTTTTAGAAATTGAAAGAATACGAGAGGCAAATGTATAAAAAATAGTGAATAAACAAAAACAGCCACCACACCTACTACACCTACCATACACCTTCACCTACATCAATTCCATTCCAAACCTATCACTCACTAACCCACGTACACACCCACTAAACCACACCTGCGCCCACACGGTATACTTGAACCCACACCCAACGCCCACCTTCCCAACCACAGACAGCCATGAGCACTTCACCCTATGTATACTTAGTGTGAGTTGACATTCGCTTTTCTGTCTGTCTGTACGTTTACCTGTCTGTCTGTCTGTCTGTCTGTCTGTCTGTCTGTCTATACGTTTACCTGTCTGTCTGTCTGTCTGTCTGTCTGTCTATACGTTTACCTGTCTGTCTGTCTGTCTGTCTGTCTGCCTGTCTGTCTGTCTGTCTGTCTCACTACGCATTCAAATAAAAATAAAATAAATTATATCAATAAAACAAAGATAAAACACATTCAGTATTTTAAAATCATAAAACAACATTCCTTAAACACATAAAAAAAAACACAAACACCTTCTAAGATATCATAAAACACAAACATAATCCTAACCACAAATAAAACACCTCATTACACACCCAACCAAAAGGAATATTTAGTAGTAGTAGTAGTAGTAGTAGTAGAAAATCTCACCTGTGACTTTACCTGTGACAACGACAATCATAAAAGTCAGAGGTAGTTTGGTCTCCTTAAAACACAAACAATAACAATTCTCACGGAGACATAATAACATTACCTAGGTTCCCCCTCCCACCGTCCCTTCACCTCAGCACGCACGCAGACTGGAATACAGGATTGGGAATACTGGGAATACTGAAATACGTGAATTGGTTGGAATCTAGGGAGTAGATGAATTGAGATGGTGGAACTGGAATATGGAGATTCAATATTATACTGGCTGGAACACGTGGGCAAATGGACTGGTTGGAATGTGAGAACTGGAATACTGGAATTGGAATAGAGTGAAATAGGACACGTAAATTGAAATACTGGAATTGGAATCCTGGTACTGTATTAGTAGATCAGAGAAGTCCCAATTGGAATGCATGAACTGGAATGTACGAGATGGAACGGGAGGGAATTGGCTTGTTCATACAAATTTATATCAAATGGAACAGATGAACTGGAATCATCCGGTTGGAATTGGGAAAAATGGAAGTTTCGAGCTGGAATTCGTGGGTTTAACTGGAATGTTTGGGTTTAACTGGAATGTTTGGGTTTAACTGGAATGTTTGGGTTTAACTGGAATGTTTGGGTTTTTACTGGAATATGTGAGATCAACTGGTTACTGAAGGTCGAGGCTTGGGAGCTAAATTCCATCCTTTAAAATACATAAGAGTGGAATCCAGGCCAAGGAAAATGGTCGCTGGAACTATCTCACAGAGGAACGCCGAGAGAAAGGTCGAATTCACCAAGTCATTTACACGAAATTTAGTGAGTTGCGTAAATTAGTCGGAATGCTGATGTGTAAACAATGAATTCGTGGGTTTAGAGGACACAACATTATGAGGTAAATATGTTTATATGTGGGTGGGTGGTTAAGTTAGGTTAGTGAGGGATGTAGTGAATGGGTTATTGTTATGTTTTTTCAGAAGGAAGAGTGATTGAGGAAATTGATCCCTTCAGTTTAACAGTTAGTTGGTGAACAAGTTAGACAGACAGAGAGACAGGCAGACAGACAGACAGACAGACAGACAGAGAGACAGGCAGACAGGCAGACAGACAGACAGACAGATAGCACACACACACACGCACACACACATCAAAGGGGTGGCAGTAGTCTCAGTGACGTGGCTTAGAAACACTGAACATGTATATATCCCTATGTGTGTATGTTTGTGTGTGTGTGTGTGTGTGTGTGTGTGTGTGTGTGTGTGTGTGTGTGTGTGTGTGTGTGTGTGTGAGAGGAACTGCCTGTAAACTTCGGCTTTCACATAAATTAAATCATTACCCAACATACGAACAACATTCTAACTACACATACAGCTGATTACTTAACAACAACAACATCAATAACAGAGACGTGAGTTAGTCTACTTGATAGTTTTTGTGAGTTATAATAATTAATTTTAACATTGTGAAGAAATATACAGACATAATATCGTCAGATAAATCCACAAACGCTACTGCCTCCCGTGTTTGGTAAGGGACGTCGATTCGAAATTCGTACTATAATGGAATCGAATTTTTGAAGAACTCCCTCACTCGGAAAAGAATATTGTAGGTTAGTCAGTTCGGTAAGTTTTGGTGACTACAAATATAAATTTATTTCAACACTCGAGGATTTTTTTTTCACCTTTCTTGTTTTTTGTGTTTTTTTTTTCGTAGGATGGAGAGCCAAAACGGGTGAGTGTGCCTAGTGTGTCCTAGAGTTACCAACACACCTGTGGTCACCGTCTTGTTTTTCTGTTCACCTGAAATGTTTTTCTGTTTTCCCGGGCAGATGTGTGTGTGTGTGTGTGTGTGTGGGGAGAGAGAGAGAGAGAGAGAGAGAGAGAGAGAGAGAAGGGAGCTGTGACTGGCTCTAAAGAATGGCCAGGTTGTATTAACAGAACCGGAGGAAGGAAGAGGACAAGGAGGAGGGAGAAGGCGAGGAAGGTGGGGTGAGCACAGTGAAGAGGAGGATGTGGAGGAAAAAGGTGAGGGAGGGGATGAGGGAGGAAGAGAGAGAGGTGAAAGGAGCAGGGTGAGATATGGCAGGAGCGGGAGGGAGGGAGGGAGAGTGGAAGAGACCGGAAGAAGCCAGAGGGCGTGTGGAATAGAAGCTAGGAATGCCATCTGTGTGGTCGTACCAACTGTGTGGTAGAGCCAGCTGTGTGGTAGAGCCAGCTGTGTGGTAGAGTCAACAAATGGTCACGAGTTCCATTCTTGACCGAAGTGGAAAATATGGTCAGGTCATAACAGGTCAACCATCACCTGAGGTCAAAGGTTATGATGGGTCACGATCATATTCAAAAGCGGGATAGGTGGGTACTTAGACGAGGGATAGACACCGGGTAGCTGTGTGAAGAACCAAGGGTTAGGACCAAGGGCTAGGACCAAGGGCTAGGTCTACCACACGAGGAAGGGCTTGGGGATAGTGCCTGCAGATAACAAATGTGCGTGGCGCCTCTCTACCTCCTCCATCCCTTCCCTCATCTATCCCTTAGCCTCATCTATCCCTCCCTATTCACACCTGCTGCTCCTCTTGCGTGTGTCAGGCGATAAATTCCTAAGCTGAAGAAGAAGGGGAATGGTGGAGGGGGGTGGATAAAGGGGTGAGAGATGAGGAAGGAAAGAATGAATGGGGTGCAGCTGGTAGGGAAGTGGGAGGAGGAGGGAGGGAGCGGGAGTGAATGGGTGGGGGGAAGGGATGGTGGCAGAGAGGATGAATGGAGGGTAGGAGGAGGAAGGAAGGATGGTATAGGGGAGAGATGTGGGGAAATAGAGAGGAAGATAGGGGAAGGAGGATTGGGAGGAGGAAGAGGGGGTGGGAGGAAGGGTGGAAATGGAGGAAAGAAAGAAGGGCGACTGGAAGGAGAAATGGAACAGGAGGGAGAGGAGAAGTGTAGCTTGTGTTAATGACCATATTCACTTTAAATACTCCGTTAATAATTAGTCAAAGTGCCCCCCACCCCCTCCTCCCATTGAATAACGGTGCTGCTAACCCCCCCCCTCTCCCTCCCCACCTCCCCTCATCCTCCGCTCTACAATCTACGAGATGATACAGTCGGTATTCATAGGTTCTACACCCTTATAAACTCTAGGAAAGTGGTTATACAGTCTTGGCTCTAAAGTGTGTGTGTGTGTGTGTGTGTGTGTGTGTGTGTGTGTGTGTGTGTGTGTGTGTGTGTGTGTGTGTGTGTGTGTGTGTGTGTGTGTGTGTGTGTGTGTGTGTGTTGTGTTTGTGTAACCTTTGCTCTCTAATGAAGCCACACCAGCCAGCCACACCAGCCAGCCACACCTTTCTGCAGATGACACGACACCACCTAAAGGTAAAAAATATATACAGTATATATATATTTTACCTGCCCTCACCTTTTCCTAATCTCTTAACTGGATATTTCCAAGGGAATTTTTGCAAGAGTCAGGGAATGAAAAACAGAATATGAATGTTTTTATTTTAATTGTAGGTCCTGCAGGTACTAATGGTTCCTAATTAGCATTAACTAGTTTAACAGCTTAGGGTTAATAATCATCGTTCACTTGGTTTTAGTTTTATGGCGTTGAAGAATTTGGAATAAAATGAATTATCTGCTGTTAAGATACACCAAATACTTTTTTTCCTGAGATAACTGGATGAAGATCTTAGTTAGCTGCCCTAGGAATAATATTTTGGACACTATAATTATTTTAATTTTCTCCCTCCCTCACTAACTCGCTCAATCCCTCCTTCACCCCCTCTCTTCCTAAAGCTCTCTCCCATTCCCTCTTTCATTCCCTCCCCTCTCACTCCCTCACTTTGTCCCTTACCTCTCTCCTCCCCTCCCTCACTTGTCACCCCAGCACCGGATGATCTCTTCCTTCATACACAAACTCCAACTCCAACAACAACAACAACACAACTCAAGAGGAACCACAGGTATGTTTTGGATTCATTAACACCTGTATGGGATTATGAGTGTTTGTACCTGCTGTA